AGTAGTGGCTCACACACAGTGGCCCATCTCAGCTGCCTATAGCCTACTGTAAGTGCATGCATGACCAGAGAGCCAGCACACACAGTATTTAGGCGCTGGGACAAAGAGGAAACAAGGCCAAACTCTCTCGGTGGTGGTTATCTAATCCTTTGTAATCATGCTTCACTTCATATTCCCCTTTATACTGGGCTGTCACACCTCATTAGGAAGAACAGTGTACATGATGCCCTTTGCTCTAACTTTCTTTCTATTTACTATCCTTTAGTGTGTTCTAGGTCTCCAGGTAAAATATGGTCAAAAGGTGGCTTTAGAGTGGCACAGTAAACACTGATCAGATGTAACGGAGTACCTTAAAGGCAGATGGCAATCAGTTACTGTGTCAGGGAAAAACAAGTGTCACTTATGTCATCTGATTGTTCTTAGTAAAATTCTCATAATGTCTGACTGATGAATTGTCTGCTGCTTATTCAACCACATCACCAAAACCGTGTGTTTCCATGAAGATGTTATAGCTTATTCTAGAATGTTCCACAGTATGGCGTTAAACCTCAAATGACCAGGCTAAGGTTACGTGTCAGATCAGATCAGTGTAGAGGCAATCCCACTCACAATAAGAAAACCAATGCAAAAGTACCAGTACAATATGGTACTTTGGTCATATAAACACCTGTAATTGAGTAAAAGATTAATTCTAAACTGTGGAACATTCCAGAAAAAAGCAGGAGACAAGCAGGAGGCAGACATATCAGAATGCAACTATAAGTAGATTTGTAAACTGAATTTGGATTGATTGATGTCAAACCAAGCCATACTTTGTAAATAACATTTTCTCATCACATCCACCGCTATTGGAAACCTGCAGTATAATCCATCTATTTCTCCAAACTCTAATGTTTATTACATGAGATAAAAGAAGTGGGTGACTTTGTGGGTGGTGGTTGTTTCAGGTAGCATCGGGAGGCGGCTGCACTGTTAGCAGTTTTGGCGCCATGGTAAGTGGAGTTTGGTTATTAATAGCGTTGGGGACATCCATCTTCCTGTCTGGGGTATGCTGGGAGAACTAAGATGGCATGGGTTTGTGTTCAGCACTTTCAAGTCCTCTGCTCTCCTTCTAGTCATTAAACAGATTGGAGACTGACAGCTTCCTTAAGTGCACATTTCCCTGAAAAAAGTGTTGTTGTTTATTTTGTTTATTTTTCCAAGATTCTGTGATTCATGCACTTGTACTGGTCAGTTTGGTTGGTTGGTTTGTTGGCTAGTTTCATTAAAAGCTGATCCAATGATTTGTTCCAGTTCCAGAGTGTTTTGTGTTGTTACTAGATAAAGCCAAACATGTCTCTGTTACATTTGCTAATACAATTATACAAGTATATGTTTTTTGTTTTTGTTTTTTTACTGCAAAACTGCAATAGATAGTTTGGTAGCAGCAACATAGAAACAAACATGGCAACATAGAAAAAATGTAAAGTTAACGGTCCATCCTCTTGTATTCTTCACTTGTCGAGCCTGTCCATGAAGTTTGTCTATGAAGCAGGGCAGGGACATGGGCCTGTCCCCTATTATTATTATTAATATACTACCACTATTTTACTTTTAGACACTGAAGAATCTTTTTGCCTGGTTTAATCTTTTTAATTTAGAATGAACACAATGAACACAACTTTAAAAAAGATAAAAAAGATAAAATGTGCTTTGACTTTCCATTGCTTCAAGGTGAGTCTATGTTTGACCATGAGCAATGAGGTGATGTCATCCACCCCCTACTAATGGCAGTGGGGTTGCCAGACTCACAGGCAAAAGCATATGTTGTTGATGTTGCCGTTTCCAATACAGAAGATGGCCCTAAGACCAGATGGTTTATGTAGATACACTGTGGTGAGGGCAGAGAGGAAGAAACAAGGATGTGACTCCTCATTTTGGCGTCCTTAGCAAATTAAGCCTTCTCACCCTTCTCTTAGGGGCTCTTCTATGTTATGACCAATTATCAAATTAAATATTAAATGTTTCAAGTAACCAAATCTAATCTAAAACTAATCTGATAATACAGTAAATGACTGGCATCATTTTGTTAAGAAAGGCATCTTAATATACTTTATGTGTGTCTGTAAAAAGTCAATTGTCTGAATAAGTGTTGGTTTCTCTCTTTCTCAGTACTGCGGTGTAGTAGTTTATCAGACAGGACCATCAGGTGCAGGAGTCTTGACAGTCCCAGTGTTGGGGGGCTCATTGGACATGCTGCTATCGATTACTACTGATTTAATCTCCCTCCCCTGTTTCCCTGGCTAGCTCTACTCAATCTCAGCAGCTGAAGCGCACTTTGACAGCTATATCAGCCCACACCACACAAGAATATAGTCACAACTGGCTGACTGGAAACAGAAATTTGGTTCAGAAATGATCAAGTTTACATGTCCTCAGAAGGTGCTAAGCTGGATGTCAAATATTTCTAGACTATAGTTTTAGAATGCAATATTGTAATGATTTAACTCCTGTTTTTGGACATTTCCAATTGAAGCACTTTGTACTCATTATACCTATCACATGATTTTTTCCACTGCATAGCACACAAAATGGGAGATTCCTCATGATATCTCTCAGCATATTGTTTTTCAGTGTCTTGTCTGGTATATTTTGTATATATTTGAATGCCAGGAAGTATATATTTATATATTTAATTTAAGACCTGAATAATTTGCTTAATTTAAAGTAGTCCACTTGTTAGGGAACAATAGAATGACTAATGACAGAATAGTAGAATAATCTCTAATGTTTTCAGGTCAAAAGGTATGCTGGTCTGAATGCACGGTCTAGATGTCTCTTGTAGTCTTCTGATATACGTACAGTCCTTCAATATTTCCTTTGATATGACACATTACAGAATTATTAAAACTCTTCATGTGGAAGCAAAACCAGAGCTTGGATAAACAATATCATGTGTGAGAATGCTATGTGTCGAACGTTCAAGTCCCCCTGGGCATTGTGATTAGTAATAAACTTCTTCTGTATCAGACATCTAGACTGTCTTATGCCTTTTCATCTATACTCTATGGCCTACTACCAATCCTATACTCTTCATGATTTTTTATCAGAATTGTTAGCACACAAAACCTAGATTGTTTTTCAGGCAATAACTGTAAAAAATTCTCCAGATTCAGATTTCGATTCAACTTTGCTCTCACTGTACAATATTACGTTTTCAACACAAATAAAACACACACAAAACACGAAGCAGTCTGAGCACAAATTTCAGTTTCTCTTATTACACAAACATGGTCAACTAGCTTGGTCAAACAGGCAAACCTACACCCCACCATTGCATTGAACCTGTACCTCTCAGTATAATGTCACTCAGTAAAATGAGATAATCGGGCAAGAGTCTTTTGATGGGTAAAACTCAAAAAATATCTTTATACATCTGGGTGACAGTCAGTAGCTTCTCATTTATCCAGTTAAATAGCACATATTTTCATGTTAGAAATAATAATTTAGCCAACAATTTCAGTTTACTTTTGTCTGACAGTTTGTTTTAAAGGTAGCAGTCCCAACAGAAACTGACACGGATCCTTACATAGTTTAAATTTCAGTATACTGATCACTCCATCTTTTAAGTATTCACATTAATGCCCACTTTCTGCAAGACCTATCCATTCCAAAACCATTCAGCCAGCAAAGCTGAAACCTCTAGAGAATGAAGACATCACCAGAGGAAGTGAAGCTGTCCCGGTGTGTCTCATCCATGCCAGTGCACAGTAAGAGGGGAAAGGCTTTAGACACAGCCAAATTTCCACTCCAGCTGGGCCACTGCTGAGAGCCATTGTCTCGTTCAGCATCCACCTACTGTGCACATATCTGTCCGTCTGGAAGAACAAGGTGCAGTGTTATAAACAGGGGAAGATGAACCATAGGTCATTATGTCCCTTATTGGGGATGTCACGATATCATATTTCACATTATTTTGTTTTTGCAATTATTCACAATTACCATTACCAAATAACAGTGAGTTTTTCTTTCTTCACTTTCACACTGGCTAATAGATCACCATTCCTCCAGACCAGTTTTGTGAAATCAAGCATACTGAAGAATAAATAAAGTCAAATTAATATAACAAAATCTGCCAGATTAAAAAAGACTTTTGTAATTTCTGGCGTACAAAATTAAAGCAAAATGTTCATGATTCTTATTTTTTAGTTCCTAAATAATCTTAGCACTTAAATATCAGCACATTAGTATCTTCTATCATTTTGGAAGGGTTTTTCTTTGACAAATTACTTTTCTCTTTTGTGCTGGCATAGGTGTTTTCATTTTTAGTTTTGCAATTGGTGCACTTCTTGCGACAATCCTGAATATACTACTATATATGTACATACTTATTTAAATGTCTTAATAGTAATAATCATAATTCAGCATTTTATTATAATTGAAATAATGAACTGATCCTCAGATTGTCAGACTCATTTAGGCTTTGTCCAAATACCAACCATAATCAATAAACAACAACATATAGTGTATATGTCAGTGATAAATTGGTAATGATTAATAGCTTTCCTTGTGTGATGGGGGTGAATCACGTTCTGAAATGCTTTACAGAGACTCCCTTCAGCTCCATGTAAAAGAGCCAATTCAGATTCCATCCACACACTGCTCACGGCCAATGGATCACAGAGCGCCACTGTCCCCTCTGTGTTGGACCACGTCTGTCCCTCCACTGTGGCCCTCACTGCGTACCCGCTTTGAATTTAACAGACATCACCTGTCACATGTGTCAACTCTACCGCCCTCTATTGGACACATCGGACACATCATTTAGGCATTATTGTATTGAAGGTTTAACGGAATCACTGATGGGCCACACTTTTCATTCTAGATGACCTCAAATGCGTGTACACATATATATCAGATGATGTGTATCTAGTTTTCAGCTGTGGGATATAAAGTGATGTACAGTTTTGGTCCATAATTATGAAGTTGGCATATTAGTAAAAAGTGTTTTTCTCTCTTAGGTCAAACTGGCTGAAGCCGTGCTGTGGCCATCGTGTCGCTGTATGGCAGGTCTGTCTGCTGAGTGCTGGCTTCAACTGTGTCTTAGTGGCCTGTGTCATCCTGGTGGTGCTCTTTCTGTCTCTGGAGTTACTCATAGACACCAAACTTCTACAATGTAAATATCCTGCATGGCTTCTTTCACCATTTGTTTTTATATCTATATTTTGGGTGTATATTTGCTGAGCAGGCACATTCTTTTAGTACACAGTGTGACTCTCCCACAACACCTGGGCAGGGATGGTACTTTAACTAAATCTCATGGTGTCCTTGGGCAGTAATACGTAGAACGGTTAATTGTCCTAATGCGGCTCCTGCCATTTAAGAACACACCAAAAATAATACAACACAAGAACTCTGGGATGCTTATGCATTTAATTTCTTGAGTCATTAGCTAGTGTGTGTGTGTGTGCGTGCGTGCGTGTGTGCGCGAGCGTGTGTGTGTGTGTGTGCGCGTGTGTGCGCGTGTGTGTGTGTGTGTGCGCATGTGTGTGCGTGTGTGTGTGTGTGTGTGTGCGTGTGTGCGCGTGTGTGTGCGTGTGTGTGTGTGTGTGTGCGTGTGTGTGCGTGTGTGTGCGTGTGCGTGTGTGTGCGTGTGTGTGTGTGCGTGTGTGTGCGTGTGTGTGTGTGCGTGTGCGTGCATGTGTGTGCGTGTGTGTGCGTGTGTGTGTGCGTGTGTGTGTGTGTGTGTGTGTGTGCGTGTGTGTGCGTGTGTGTGTGTGTGTGTGCGTGTGCGTGTGCGTGCGTGTGCGTGTGCGTGCGTGTGTGTGCGTGTGTGTGCGTGTGTGTGCGTGTGTGTGCCAGTCAGGTGGGTTGTGATGGAGAGAGGTGATAATAGAGCCAGTGTCTGTCAGTAGCAGGAGGAGCATGTGTCATTGATCACTGGCCTCTGTCCAGCCTGGATCACATCTTACAGAAGAGATAGTAGAACGCATTCTACACTTCATTCGATGTGCAGGACTGTGTATGATAGTAGACCAGTGGGCTGGGAGTACAACCGAAAACAATACACACATACTGATCATTTAGTAGTTTCAGTTAGAAGTTACCGTAGAAGAATTTTACACTTTCTCAAAAACAACAAATGTTTAACTGTTTCTATGTCATTCTGTTTACAGTTTCCAATGCTTTTCAATTTGCCAGCATTATCCACTGGATTAGCCTTATTATTCTTTCACTCTTCTTTTCAGAGGTAATGCATGTATTTCATTGTGCATTCCGCTTAATTTTTTACTAATCATTTTAATTTGACAAAGCCCTATACTATCATCCACTTACGGATTATAATAAAGTATTACTAGACTCTTTCACTTTATTATGCACTCAATATAATGGTATTAAATGTGTGTATGTTATCTGAACTAATTAGTAAACTAATTAGCAACATGTGGAAGGATTCTTTGCTCCTACTCTATTGACATTGCTTTGTCTAAGATTAGCTGCATTTGATGGATTAGCAGAACCACTTGAACATGGCACACCATGACAAAAACATCCCAGTGGGAACAATAAAGTGAACCATAACCTTAACAATGCTAATTAGAGTGCAGCAAATTTATTCTGCAGCTCAGCAAAGGCTCACTACTGTCAACACCCTGATCAGAGATTAGATTTGTCTTGTGTTTAGGTTTAGAAGATGAAAAGGGTTCAGATGTTATAAAGTCTATTAACAATTCACTCATAACTAACATCATGTATTTTGTGTTTGAATATTGCTGTTGTAGGACTCTGTCACGGTGTTACTTGCAGTTCTTGTTTTTTTTATACATTTAGTCTCATTTAAGTCTTCATTTAAGATGAAGGCTCATTGACAATAATAAACTCCTAAAGGCTTGAACTAGGCATTTAGTGTAAGTAGCCTATTCTCAGATATTCTTTAACATAGTTGATGCTTATATGGTCCAGATTCAAAATTAAGGGTAAAAGTTTTTTTGTTTTTGTTTTTCTGTTTAACAACGCAGTTTAAATGTTCATGTTGTTTTAATGAATAGATTTTTCCCTCTCTCTCAGACTGTCTTCAGAATAATAGTGCTGGGTATCTGGGACTACATAGAGAACAAAGTAGAGGTTAGTACAGCTTGTATTGTTCTACTCTTTCACTCTCCTCTTGGTAACTTGCTCATATGATGCAGGTATTTGATGGTGCGGTCATTGTACTCTCTCTGGCTCCTATGGTGGCCTCCACAGTGGCCAATGGACCCAGCAGCCCCTGGGACGCCATCAGCCTCATCATCACCCTGCGCATATGGAGAGTCAAGAGGATCATCGATGGTAGGTATTACAAAACAATATTACAATGATTCTACTTAAGTCCATGTCCTACAAACTCACTGTGTCACTTACTATTCTGAACAGGGAGTGTATCGACTATGCCTCAATTTCAACTGATCTGTTATTCTAACTTGTATTGATTCCAGGGGCTGGTTAAATAGATTCACAGAGCCAGTAATGAATATAGTGGTTGTTCTCTTATGTTAATGAAGAGTGGTTCAATATTTGTTAGGTCACTCTCAACATGGGCTCTGGACTACATATAAGATTATGCTTATTTAGATGCATGTTTCAGTTTCTGCTGTTTCTTATTCTGAATTTAAAAGAACTGAATTGAAGAACTGAAAAACAAATATGTCTTTAGTATCACTGTGAACTGGAGAACTCATAATGTCATTGCATTTGGAGTTGTCTGAAAAGAGAGGTTTCCAAATGAAGACGCCTTTAGCATATTTAGCAACATTGCCCCAGCCTCCAGGAAAGACTTGCATTATGTAATGCAAAATGTATGCAGTTATTTTCCAGCAAATGTAAAATATAGTTGTTTTTTTCTTTTAATATATTTGAGCTGTGATTAAATGGTAAACATGCCTGGCTCTGTCTATTAGGATCTTGCTAATGACTGTTAATCTATTCGGGAACACAATACATCTTCCCCATTGATTTTACTCTGCTACAAGACTCTTACAAGAGTGCATTTCCTTAGAGAAGTGTACCTCTTAACATGCACTGGCTGTACAGGCCTCCTGTGCATGAACAGATTTTTCTGTGCTCAACTCAGACTGTTACCTCACATATTTGTGAGTGATTGAGTTTCCTTGTTAGGCGGGCTGCTGCTCACCTGGAAGGGAATGAACAAAAATACTCTCCGAGCGATACTGAACAGCTGAGGGAGCGCTGCTGTGATGCTGGCACGGAGATTGAGTCTCCTGCAGAATTAGGTTGACATATGAAGTAGCAATGTTTGTGTCAGCCAAGACAAGGCAAGAATACAAAGAAGTGAACTATACCATATGGACCAAATAAAATGTGTGTGTGATGAGACCACTGAAATTACCATTTCTTGTGGACATAGCAATGCATGAACAATAGTTTATTACTTAAATAATAGTAAAAATTATGCCACACGCAGACGGGAGTACATGTCTTTTCACATTCTTACTTTTCAATGTATTTATTTCTATATGTCATATGTAGGAATTTGAGCATCTGCACAAGATAACAGATAACAATGATTAGTTTTACACAAAACAGCTCAAATGTGTGTGAAATAAGTTAAATTACCTCATTTAAAAACTTAACTTCAACTTAACATTAAAACATTCATGTCATTCTAGCGTATGTGCTACAAGTCAAAGTTGAGATGGAGCTGGAGATCCAGCAGTGTGAGAAAACCAAAGCAGTGAGAGAGGAGCAGCTGGAGCGGCTCACTCAGATCTGCCAGGAACAGGCTGTGAGTACCATGCTCATTACCCTGGTATGTGGGAACTGGGATTATTTATTTACTACCTACGTGTAGGTTTGTGCTCAGAATACATTACACCTATGAATAGCAAGGTTAAACTACAGAAATTGGTTGCCAAGAAACGTAATTTACTTTGTTGCCAGTAGAGGGCAGCAACACCTCATAATCGCCTTCAATTTTGCCTCTTATTATACTCATCTTGGAGCGATTGTTTAAATATTGGCATAATATAAATATATAATTACTAGAGGTGAATTGTAATTAGTTATATACTATACAATTATTTATACATAATTAATGAACATTTAAGTACTTCTGGCAATTCTGAAAATGACTTTTCACATGTGCCAACCTTTTGTTTTCCAGTTTGAGATCAGGCAGTTGAGGGCACATTTGGCGCAGCAGGACTTGGATCTGGCAGCAGAGCGAGAAGCAGCCATGCAGATCCACCATGTCTGGGGCAAACAGGGGAGAAACTTTAAAGTTGTGGAGGGCATGACTCCTGGGGAGTATGAGGATGAAGGCAGCCACCGAAACCCCAGGGAGCCACATGCAACAACAGGTAGGTTCTATGGACATACCTGTGTACATGGACTTACTAGCACCCTAGCACTAGTTTGTGTGTAAGTGCTGAAAAGCTTTACCCACTAAGCCAAGTGCCTTTTGCATGAGAAAGCAATGTGACAAACTAGGAGGGAGGGGCAGCATAAGACATGTACATATTTTGTGATACAAAAATCACAATAGTAAACATCCTGCACCCTGAATGCCCCAGCAGTGTTGAGTTAATCTGCAGAAGTAGGCCTGAAGCTGGCTGGAGGCCAGGCTCTTAGCTCTCATGCTCAGACACAACAGCCATCTGACCACAGGTGCTCTGGGATGAATACAAGGGCAGAAAGCTTTTAGGCCCTGGTGAGTCCTGGGGCAAACAGGCATGTTCTCCAACACCACATGTCAAGCTGGTTTCCTGCTCCAGCACTGGTCCTCCTGTCTCTTGCTGCCCCCCTCTGGTGAGACCAGCAGACCAGCCTTGGCTGTTTAGGCTATTTCAGGTACTGAGTGCTCTGTGCATTGGGCCTTGTAAGAGGAAAGAAGGCCCCTGTCAACATCTGTTCCCCTTCACCTGCAAACCACAATAGGACACAAAGAGGCGCTATGGCCACAATATTACCCCAAGGGCATGGTGCAAATCAGTCCTTCCAAAACAAATGGGGCTTTTTACAGAAACATGGGTCCTGGGATGGACACTTAGACCACAGGCCCATTTCAAGGGAGTCCAGCTTCAGTCACATTAGTTTTGATTTGACCATTTTGCTTGTATTGTCCTAAAAGAAAAATCTTTTTTTGAAGAGTTTAAAATAGTCTAAAGTCTTATTTCCTTCCATGAGTGATTATATCAAATTTGTATTAGTGAAGATTCAAGTACCCTGGCATTTAGCAGCTAAAGTTACTGATGATATATAACTATATAAAAATAATTAGATAATATTAACTACCCCCAAAACTCAAAGCATTTAATTTACTACAGTTTTTGTTTTTGTTTCTACGTTACATGTTTTTTTTTTTTTTGGGGGGGGGGGTGTACAGCTAAAACTGTGTTCAAAATAGCTCTGAATAAAGAGACCCTTCCATGTCACCTCTTCTTTAGCACAGATGACATCCCTGAATGGAGCAGAAGCTTTTATGCATGCTGGACAGCCCATTCTTTTTCCTTAAGACTCATGTGTTATTAATTGTGGAGTGATTGTCTCAGTCTTGTTTTAGTGAGTGCAATGCTTCCTCTCCAGGGGTGGCCCAGGGATTAATATTTTAGACTGAAAAATAAATGAAATTACCCATCAGAGTCTGCCTCCCTGAGGACAGAGGCTAGCACTCAGGGTACTCTGGCTTCGCACTCAGCCAGTGGACAGTGAGCTCAAGACCAATCAGGCGCACAGATGAGCACAGCCGATCACAGGCGCTCAGTGCACACTCTGAGGTCTTCTTATCTGGAGGGATTATTCTGCCCAAACAAAGAACTACCACACTCTCTGTCGACCCCTTCTTTCTGGTCCCAGACACCAACCCCACCCACTGCTCTGTCCCAGTTTACTTCCAGTGCACTAGGCGGCTGCTAATGTGGCACGCTTCCTGCTATTTACTTAGAAAGCACCTGTGGCCTGTGGCTCAAATCAGCTATGTCAATAATATGTTGTAAATACATTATCTTTTTTCCAGTCGGGCTAACTTCAGAGAGAAGGCTGTTTAAATGAAGTTTGCGGTATAATTCGAAAATGTCCACATTTTAAATTGGTCTATTTAAAACATTTTCCCTTTTGTTATGTTCTTTTTTTTTTTCTCAGATCCAGTTGTACGTGATGATATGAACAACTATATCAGCCAATATTACAGTGAAGCCAGCAGTGGTAAGACCCAAATATTATCTCCTCCCCAGATTTAGGTCCGTCAACACAAAACAAAATATGGAAATTATTATTCAAATTAGCAACGTAATATTAATAGTAGCAAAACAATCTAAAAATATGTAATAAATGTAAACATTTTGTAGATCTTTACAAAATGACTTTTTTCTATATCTGATTCTGTTCTTGTATCATATCTTTGCAGAAGCTGGTGCATCAGGTGCCGGCGTGCGGGTCATTACTACTGCAGCCATTGACGTTCACCTACCCACAACCCCCCATCCCATTCAGTCCAACCCAATGCTGGCCATGGAGCGGGTTGGCAGTGCCCTGAGTGACATTTCCACCAGCATATCACGTTCCAGCGGCAGTCTGACAGCCCGCCCCCTCAGTCTGAGCAGCCACACTCCAGGATCCTCGCTGACAGACTGTAGCAGCAGCACAGCCCAGGACCTGAGCCTGAACTACAGCTCTGTGCGCTGTGCCCCCCCTGCCTTCCCCGGGCCGGACTCCCGCAGGGACCCCAGTGCTGTGGTACAGGAGCTGCTTTCCTCTCTCTCTGAGGACTCCTGTCGCACTCAGAAAAGTCTGGACCCTGTCAACCTTAAGCTTCCCAGTCCTACAGGGTCCGAAAAAGCCAGTCCTGAGTTGGACCACAGAATAAACCTGTTCAATCGCAGGAACCAGGAGGAACGGAGAGGGCGGGGTAGAGGCAGTGGTCCACTACAGACTAAGCCTCTGATTCACCTGCAGGGCGGCAGCACTGAGCTCTCTTTGGAGGAGAAGTATAGGCTCCTGGGTCCCTCTGACACCCCTTTGGGTCACATGCCTGATACATAGGCTGCATCCGCCCAGGAGAAGAGGCCTCTGATGCTATTAACTTGGACGGACCGCACACATTATACATGGTATTCTGTTCTTTCTGCGTAAAATCCACTCTTGGTCATATAAGACCAAGTTTTGATTTTACACATATCATACAGTATAAGTGATAATGGACTCTTCCCACCTGCTTTGATAAAAATCCATGGTGCATCTGAAACAAATGCCCATAAATAGCACAAAGGAGACAACCCCATTTGAATGCACTGTTGTACACTCTCTTTCAGGAATTAATGAAATGGTCCTAAATGCAATGAACACTAAAAATAAAACCAGCAAGGACCCTTCAGGTCTCTACTGAACTCAACTTTATTGCCAGTGTTCCAAGCCAAGACGCTGTTCTCTGCTTTTGGAAATTAGAACAGCTAAGTGTTTTATAAAGAAATTCTGCTTTTGTTTCATTTGTACTTCAAACAATTATCATGCTGTTCGCTGTTTCTGATGTTACAGGGTAAGACATTGAGAAGATTGGCTTGTTGATACAAAAGCCATTTAACCTTTGCCTTTTGCCACAAATTTATTTCATATAAAACTACGGGGCATCATTAAAAAAAAAAAAAAATGAAAAGAAAAAAAAACTGTGAAAAGCTTATATGTTTCATGAAAAAATGTCTTACTATTTTTCTGTATGGATGAACGGCAAGGTTATGTGACTGGAGTGCTTGTAGCATGAACCTTTAAAAGATACAAGCTAATTCTTTGCACTTTAATGTTTACAGACACTTTTGTAGACTTGATACAGCCAACTTAATTGCCAAATACATATGTTGTAATTTTAATCAAAATTAATGAAAATAAAATAAAAATATTTCCTTACATTTAATTTGTTACAGTTTCTTGAAAGTGAAAATAGCACTGACACGAAAGCTCTCCCTCTCAGGTTTCCTCCTCTCAGCAGCCTCCAGAACACTATAATTTCATTAGCATCAACATCTTATTTGCATATGGTTTAAAAAGTGTAAATAATTTAGGGATAAGATTGAAGGAGCTGTCACAACAACAGTTAATTGGCTAAGTCACCATAAGTGTGTAATGAGAAGAATCATCCTGCTAGGCTGTGCTATCATTAATTCAAAAGACACCATTTTGTTGCTTGTCAAATGTTTATGCAATTACAGAGTATATTTTAATTGTTAATCACTATTACACTGCACATAGCCTAATTTTACATCAAAGGTTTCCCTGTGCTAAAAACAATGCAATCTGCACTGACCCTTAGTTTTTGCTTAATTGTGTACTTTCCACAATTACCTTTTTTCACAGAAATATATATACATATGTGTGTGTGTGTGTGTGTGTGTATATATATATATATATATATATATATATATACACACACACACACACACTATGAACCTTATTGCACTATGTTTATTGCATAGTAATATCACAGATATGTTTCTTGTGAGGTAAGTGACAATTCAAAACGATGATGATGATGATTTGTATAATCCATTCTTCTAAATTGCAGATGGCCTGGTTGGCAGGGACCCAAGACTGACATAAGAACCACACTGCATTGGGACCTCTCCAACGAACCAACAGCTACATTCTTGTTACACACTGCAGAGTGACTCTGAATACTTCAGCATGCAATAACATCACATCATCTTTACTTGCATTATGCCTCTATTATGTAAAGTTGACACTGTGTCAAATAAAATGTTTATTTTACTTGCAAGTTTGTAGAGTAACAGAAATGTATTAGTGTGCATATTCATAACTATATTCATTTTTACTGACAAAACTGAGAAGATTGTAGTAAAAAAAATAAAATAAAAATAGAATCTCATTATTTTATACCTGCAGTACATACTGCAGGTATAAAATAATGAAATTCTGTTTTATCTATATCCCAAACTAAGCAAAGCTGCACACTGATAAAAGTCCATTTAAAGGCCAAAATCTCATGTGAGGCAAGTAGAAATATAAAAAAGTTAAAGTCTGAACTAAAACTCTAAAAGTCTGAAACTAAAGAGTAAATTAAAGGCCTTTTAATCTTTTCATTAGGAAACTGTTCAGTAATCAGTTGGAAGTTATTTTTAAAATTTGCAGGCAAAGTGTGTCCTGGATGGTTGAATGTTTTGATACTCTCTATACTGACAGCACATGAAGCTTTGAGCTATTGTGAACATGTATGTCTTTCTTTTCAAGTGCATTGAAGAGATTTGGAGCAGAGCCCTATGGAGGCAAACAGCTGGACGTTTGTTCCAAAGGCTCGACCTCACTGAGAACAGAAGTGGGGTGTGTGACTGACTGTGACAGATTCAGAACACACGGCACACAGGACAGTCTTCACAGAGGCAAGAAAATACAAATGAATTATACATTGTTCTTTAAAAAGCTTCCCAGGTTCTCCTTTTCAAACATACTTCCTAAGTGCGGGATTCAGACGTTCACTTGGTGGAAGGAATATGCACAGGAGTCGGTTGTCATGGTGACACAAGATTTATTTATTTTGTTTTGTTTTACCAATTTTTAGATTTAAATAATCTTCAATATTAAAGTGAATCAGACAATAGCTCTAGTCATTCATTTTTCTTTTTTTTTCTTTTCTTTTTTTTTTTTCAATTCCATACATTAAAAGAGAAATGCTATTCATATGTTGAAGTCAATCAGAGGAAGAGGTACATTGTTGTTCATATGGTAAACATGCAGTCAGCACAAGACTATATTCCTCTGGGAAAACTGAAAACATCATTTTGAACTCTAAAGACCTGAACAAACAAGAATATGATTTACATAGTGTCATAATTTACATGTCTTGTGCTCACTGAGTGAATTAGCCATCATTTTAAATGAGTCACACAAATCTGTCGGGAAATAAATATTCATATAAATGCTTGTGTATAGATGGACAATAACATAGCTGGCCTTGGTAAGAGCCCTTTGAAGAAGCTATTGTTACATAATTAAAATTGTGAGTTTTACAGAGATTATTCCAGCCACCAGTGCAAACAAGTCCTTGATGCCCGTCCAAGCCTGCATAAGACGAGTTTGCTTTATGTGTGAAATTGTTTACAAATTACAGCAGAGTACTACAACTACTAACAATTTACTGCAAGTGATGGAAGGATGAAGGAATGGTCTTTGACTTCACCTAGAACTTCAGTTTGTTTTTGCATTAGTCCAAGATGGGGACCATGGTGCGCCCAGTCCAGATCTCAGCTCACCTTGTCTGTCTGTGTGCACGTGCTTGGGGTCCTCCCACATTTCCATGAAGTCCCTGGGGAGTCGCACATCAATTGCTCTCAGCTAAATGCACTCACATATGAATATTTCAGTACAATTTAATGTTGCAGCTACAGCCCCAGAGGAGCAGAGCATCAATTTGTGAACACAGTTCTCCTGGAGTTAAAAGCCAAGTCGGATAATACAGAATGAAAGCCAGTGTCAATCCAGTCAGCCTTTTTCACTTGAGAGACCGAAGAGAGAAAAGAATCCTTTGCCTTTTGCATGCACATAAACACGGACAGTGAACAGTCAGACAGAGGCAGTGTTGGTTAAAAATGTGAGCGGATCTCCTCATGGTCAGTTCTCCCAGAGCCCTGGCATGATGCCATTGAGCCTGTACGAGCCACAGACAAAGGCAGCTGTAAGAGTGGGTCAGACAGTCACACACCTGCTGTCCTGATATTCAAATGCCCCAGAGTGATGCTGCACCATGGGTTTGGGACTGAAGCACCCCACCCAGGTGTGAGAACACGAGTCCTCCCATAAACAGGCCCAGTGTGACATGAAGGAGTTAATCAGGCAAAGTCATCGAGGAAATGCACCCCTTTCTTTCTAATCAAATATCTTTTACTAGTAACAATTGTAATGCTGATGTATTCTTAATTACAAAAACATTGCACATGTCATGCCAAATGTTTTGTGTTTTTGTTCACAAGAGTATCCAATCAGAAAACAGAATGAGCCTCACATTAGACTCATCATTTGGATTGCCAGTTTCAATACTGAAATCCAGTTGGTTTAAACCTAAAATGACTCTCTCTGAACTGAATTCTCACAACCTAATCCAGAGCATCTGCAACCAGTCAATAATCAGTGCCTCTAATGCTGCAATATATGCCTTCCATACTTATGTCCTCTATCTGCAGCTTTAGGCACTGGCAACCCAGGTTCAGTAGTGATTGTAGTACCTTTGTTAAAACCATAAGGGCACAGCCTTTGACATTTTATTAATTATTATTATTAAATTATTTTACTAAAATGTTTGTAATCAACACATTCACATTCTGTTATTCATTTTTATTCATTGTTATTATCCACATTCGGAGGATCATAATAATGAATAACAACGATATTGAAATGCATATATACATTTTTTTTCAGTTGCTTTGGCACAGTTATCAACTGAAAGTTGACATTGCCACAACAGCTCACACAAAATCCTGAACAGAATTTTAGTTTTCAAATTCAAATTCATTTCAAAAAAGTTTATTGTCAGTTCTTCACATAAAACACATGAAGAAACTAAATTGTATTTCTTACTCCTAAGCGTATAAATAAATAATAATGAATGGAAATGTCCAAGTGTTCTTTGGGGAGGCGCAGGTTCCTAACTTCATGGCAGCCTGCTGGTTAGAGAGGGAAGAGAATTCAGCATCGTAACAGCCTGGTGGATGAAGCTGTTAGTGGGTCTGGAAGTGCTCCTGTACCTTCTATAATTTTGTTTCCTAAACAAACTTTTAATTCAGCAAAATGCAGTTTTACATTCAAAACTGATTGATCATCCTCCAGTAGCAAATTTACTTGTCATGGTCATGAGTTCTTCTGTTGTCTTTCATTCTTTTGATGGAGCAGCTCAGAAGCTTTAGTCCTTCTCTCAGTGACCACAGACAGTGCAGTCTACCATTGGGGTTCACACTTTACACAGAAAAATTTTGGACTTGAAAAAGCTTTGCTTTTTTGTCTAAAAGCTGTATGTACTGTATTATGTAAATATAAATGTACACATTACCAGTTGCAAAGTAGATTTTGCAGTATTTGATAAAAAATATGTATATTGAAGAAAACTGAAAAATATAGGAGTAGCAAGTACATCAACTTTTTTTAACTGTAATATGTAATGTGCTCTTGACAAGACATTTATACATCCCAGTGTGTATATCTGTATGAAGTCTCTATATTTTCTTCTCCCTGTTTGACACACGTGTGAAATCCTTTGTTGATAGATTTTTGGTGCTCACAAATAGTGCTGTTATGTTTGAGTTTGAAAGTAACAGTGTTTGGCCCAGTGTCCTTTACCATGTGAGAACAGACCTTTAGTATTGAAAAACAGGCTGAATTCATTGTTCATGTGACTTTCTGAATGAGAGGTGTGTGAACTGATGAGAAATGTTCCAAATGATGTGATCGCCTGTGCCTCTGTTCAGTACATTTTTGAATCAAATGATCAAACTAAACCAAGTTTCCAAAAAATTTTAAATAAAAAAATAAATGTGCTAAAACGATAGAGAAAAACAGTAAATAACTATGCAGAAATAATTTTGCCTAATAAGACTCAATATTTAAAAGGAGCCTATTCCTATATCCTCTAATTGCACCCTTCTATTTAACTGACACAAAAGTCCCTCTTAGAGCTGATAAGGGGCAAGTAAAATGTACAAGACACACATTTGTAAAATAAAACAGGCAGCTGACAGTTACAGTAATAATGTAATAATGGAAGCCCAACAATGCACAACTGCCTGCGGGCTCCAATCAAAAATTAATACTAATTATCATGTGAATACTGCATTAGCTCTGAAGAATGATTAATTATACATTGCCAACATGGTTCCCCTCTCAGACTGGCGGCACTTGCACAAGGTTGTGATTTTTCTTTTTTTTTTTTTCTTCTTTTTTTTTATATATATATATAGCTGGACATGGGCAACACACATCCGTGCACTCACTGAGCCGAGAAGAACGTTGCATGTTTTTTTTTTGGTTGCTTGTTTTAATTGTCCTTTGACATTAAAGCACAAAACTACCATTTGACAGATTCTCTCTATTTCACATTTTCTGTATACCTACACTTTTATTTCTAGTGCGCCTATCTATGATTATGGACACATTTAAACAAATCAAACAATTTTTCTGAGATTGCAGATCTTTGTTCTTTGTTGAGGTCATCCAGCTCTTATGTACAAATAAACTAAAATGAACTGAGGTCTAAACAGAGACAAAACTGGCACCACATGAGCGGCTGAAGCACTGGGAGTGCGCAGGCATGGCCATAGTAAATTACTTATACGTGTGACAAAGGAGGCAGAGTGCCATCAAATCCTAAAACATTCACAAAGCATCAGTGAAAAGTTTGGCCTCTTGAAGCCCCTTCTGAATTCCAACTCTGATGCCAAAATGTAAGTGGACGATTTCAGTCACACATATATTTTTCATGAGGTTAATGGTCCCCATCAGAGTGTGATTACAGATTCTTAGAAGAAGCTTTTATGTTGGCTGAGTGACGGCTGGGATGGCTGCTCCCGACCAAACTGTCATTAATAGGTCACAAACAATAAAGATATTCCCTGTCATGGTGGATTAAATATATTAAAGACCTCTGACCTGAGATATTAAACACCTCCTCAACTGCGCACAGTAAAATATGCATGATTAAGTTATTTAAAATGGATCACAATGTCCACGAGCAATTTCCCAATGTATACATAACCTATACACCCATACACATCTGCACTTAATTGTTAAAGATGTGCACAAAATTAAAACAAAACTAAGATCATCGTGTAAGAATGTGAAACTTTTCGTTGCGCACATACGTGACGTTATGACGAGGAGCGTCTATAGGCCAAGAACCGAAACTGAAACACATTTACCAAAAAACAAACAAGAGTACGATCAGGTTATTCGTGGCAACAAATCAAAATGCTCTTCTCCCAAATCCCCAACTACACACAATTATGAACACAGCACAGGAGCACAGCACACTGCGCCTATAAACTTTTTTGATCAGATTTGGTAAACAAAGAGATTTTACAAAGGTAAAATAGTCTACTTTAATGATAAAATTTACGTTTGAAACCATATTATACATCTTATTCTGGGAGGTCCGTGGAGTAAATTTCAAAAATAATTCAATGTCCAGCAGATGCAGTTTCACTCTTGTCCCAATAGATGGCAGTGCATTCGAATGCATTCGGCTCCTCATCAGACACTACATGCAACTTTCTGTTCCAGTCTGGCCTTTTGTCCAGTACTCTCTAATAACCCTAAATTGGTCCCTATACATTGTTACCGTTTAATAGTTCAAATCTGCAGTGCAAAAACGCAATAGAGTAGGAATATTTATTTGTTCCCTAAATTCAATGTGAGATTAGAGATTAAAGAAAAAAAAGAAATAAAGGGGGGGAAAAAATTACATATTCTTGAGATATTTGTTTTTCAGAAGGCTCTTATTGTAAAGGGATGCGAGCAAAAGTCTGTGTCAATAAACGAAATGCAAACGGCCTATTTTGGATAGGCTATGGTTTGTTGGTTTTATTCTGATGGGCCTGTTTTTTCTTTATTCACTTATAGATATCCTTTTATTAGGCCTCGTTATTTAGACTATTTGTTTTTTATCTGTATTTGAAGCAGTGCAATTTTATACTCGGTTATTATTTTTCTTATAAGATATTTGTGCCGTGAGTAAAATACGGTGGATGTAAAATTACTCTATATTTCAACGAACAGCACAAAAATCTAACTGGGCGTCCACTGCCGAGGGGCAGAGTCCATCCACCCTGCGTCATGACGTAATGGGGCGGCGTGCTGGACCCTACATTCGCCTGCCCCCCTCCCTCTTCTGTCCGAGGAGACACAAGTTATGAGGGAGGCTGCCGAGGGCCAGTGTTGCGTTCACATCGTTTCTGCGTCAGCCGCTGCCCGTCATCCTTTCTGTATGGTGGATATTATCTTCAGCTCTTCTTTCTTGGATGATATGGGGGATCATTCCAAAAGTAAGTAGTCTGGCGTTTATATTTTCTCCGCTTTTGCTCATCATGTTATGTTGTCGCCGCAGTGGTGTTGAGCAACAGCTTCAAGAACGAACCTTACTTTGTTAAAACATCTTATTGGCCTCTACAAACGCCATAAGGCCACTCGCTTACATTCTGCTGTTGGTAAAAGAAATGATGCTGGCAAAGTGAACTGTTACATAACGTATGGAGTTGTCGGATCAGCAGAAGAAGCCGCACAAAAAGCGCAACATCTTGGTTTTGACCCTATCACTGGTGCTGACTTGTCATTTACAGTGGACTGATAATACGTTTGTTTGCAGAGAAGTCAGGTTTCGCGATGTGCGTTGGATGTGGAAGTCAGATCCATGACCAGTACATACTGAGAGTGTCCCCGGACCTTGAGTGGCACGCAGCCTGCCTCAAGTGCGCGGAGTGCAGCCAATACCTGGACGAGACTTGTACGTGTTTCGTACGAGACGGCAAAACCTACTGCAAGAGAGACTATGTCAGGTACGATAATAATACACAAACAACTTTTATTATGCATTTACACTACACAATATGCGCAAAGTAGTTACGCCAGAAAACGCCTGTGTCTCTTAAAAATACGCATAAAAACATGGCGCCCAATTTCTTCCTACAAATGCATCCCTAAATAAAACTTGATTAACTCCTAAAATTTTGCCGCAGTGCCCCATGATAATTTTAAAAATACATAATAATAAATCATTGACCAAGGACTGTTTTACTGGACATCATTTAGCCTTAGTCTACAGTTATGTTTGCAGTACACTGAGAAGATTTTTTCTTCACAAAAATTCAATGATATCATCTTAACATTTGCAGGTTATTTGGTATAAAATGTGCAAAGTGTAACCTGGGCTTCAGTAGCAGTGACCTGGTAATGCGCGCTCGGGACAACGTGTACCACATCGAGTGCTTTCGCTGCTCGGTGTGCAGTCGTCAGCTGCTGCCCGGGGACGAGTTCTCTCTGCGGGACGACGAGCTGCTGTGCCGCGCGGACCACAGCCTGCTGCTGGACAGGAGCGCCACGGGGAGCCCGCTGAGCCCTGGACACATGCACTCCAACAGACCGCTACACCTCGCAGGTCAGAAGGATATTTATTTAATGCGTAAATTAGTCTTGTGTATTTGCAATAAGCTATAGCAGGGTAATATAAAAAATAGAATATGTAATAGTAATTGTCAGATATGGTGTCTGTGGTGTTTTGGACCATGTGTAAAATAAAACACTCACAAGTCGATCCAATTTTCTAATTAACGCAAAGCAGCTCTGTGGTCATTATCTGAATAATCGGCGGGGCCCGTTTAAGTGAGCGTGTGTATTATAGATCCTGACACGCTCAAAACGCTCTCTAAAAATTAAACAAACAAAATTAACAAAACCTTCACCAACTGAAAATGTCTGTTTGTATCTGATATTAATTTTAGTGTGTACATTCTTTCCATTTTGCCTTCTTGAAATAAAATAGGTTGTTAATGCGCTGTTAACAGAAATGCCCTTTGTTTGTTCACAAATAAGTAATCATACTTTACTAAGCTTGTTTGAATACCAAATCACCAACACGGTGCATTAAATAACACGGAAAAAACACGACTTATCGTAAGGGCCTTCAGAACATATATGCGTACAGCGGAACTTTCAAAACGACTACAGGCTGCAGAAATATTTATTATCTTTATATTTTGTCTCTGTTGACTTCAGCAGACCCAGTCACGGTGCGGCAGGCTCCGCATCGGAACCATGTGCACAAGCAGTCAGAGAAGACGACGCGCGTGCGGACGGTACTGAATGAGAAGCAGTTGCACACGCTGCGGACTTGCTACAACGCAAACCCGCGGCCAGACGCACTCATGAAGGAGCAGCTGGTGGAGATGACCGGCTTGAGCCCCAGGGTGATACGGGTCTGGTTCCAAAACAAGCGCTGCAAGGACAAGAAGAAGTCCATCCTAATGAAGCAACTCCAGCAGCAGCAGCACAGTGATAAGACTGTAAGCATCTTCGTAAGTTTGACTCGTTCATTACAAACTTTTTGTGCGTGTCTGTCACTAAATAGAGAAGCTTTGTTGCTATCCACAATCACCCTTTTAAAATGTTGCTTGATCTTATTAATTTAGCTCTTTCGGTCAGACTTGTTTTGTTGGCTCAGAGTTCCTTTCTGTATTCAAACTTTAACTTAATGAATAATGAATCAGCTACTTTGGCTTTAGTTGCCCTATTGACCTGATACAGAGTAAAAGCTAATTTGTTGCTGATACTTAATTATTTGCTACTGTGTGATTCTTAAACATGCCTATTGCCTTTCATATCAACAAAATTTACCAAGCATCAGTGTCAAACAAAACAAAACAAAGAAACAATAAATCTTTGGTGGGAGAGATTAGTGTGTAGATTAGACTTTTAGAAGTGATGTCTAATTCTGATTGATCTCCTCAGAACCTGCAAGGCCTGACTGGGACCCCTCTGGTAGCGGGGAGTCCTATTCGACATGAGAGCACGGTGCAGGGCAATCCAGTGGAGGTGCAGACCTACCAGCCTCCATGGAAAGCTCTGAGTGAGTTTGCCCTGCAGAGCGATCTGGATCAGCCCGCTTTCCAACAACTGGTGTGTGTGGGCTTGGGATGGGCACTCACTAAATGCATATTTGAATAGTTTATATTTTCATGTTAATCTATTCTTAGCTATTTTTGCACATCTGATCTATTGTGGAAAGGCCATGAATGAAAAAATAATGTCCGAATCCTAAATTCCTTTAGGATCTAAAATATTAAAACTTAATTTTCAAAAACGGAGATTGGAGTTTTCCGTATTGAAAATTCTGTGACAGTGCATTACTCTAACATTTTAAAATATTAATTTAGTGTTAAACGAAAGACATTTACAAATGTTTTTATGGAGGGACATTATTTTATTTACATTTACATTTACAGTTACTATTAAAGTTCAACATGCATGCATGTTTAGATATGAAAATTAAAGTAGGTTATTGGTGAACCTGAAAGTGACATTTATTTATTTTAAATGTTTGAAAACTAACAAGAAAAATGTGTCTGTATAAGAGGAAAAAGACACACAATTTTTGAGAATATCATTAATAATTACTACAATAAATGATTTCTGAAATGGCATAAAACAATATTCATTAGAGAAAAAAATAAATACATTTTGTGTTATTAAAGTATGGTTGTCAAGTGGTTGCTTGTATCAGTGCTGATCCCTTGTTTTATAATATTGCAAGTACATCTGACCTCAATACTTTGATGCTTGTACCTATCATGGCACAATAACTGACATATAAAGCATTCCTTCCTTTCTTTCTTCTCAATAAATATGGGCTTCTGGATTTGAATGGGCTCTTCTAAATACCAGTATGTCATGTATTGTGTATGCTGACACTGTATCTGTCCTTGTTTTTTTCAGGTGTCGTTCTCTGAGTCGGGCTCTCTGGGGAACTCCTCGGGCAGCGACGTGACTTCTTTGTCCTCCCAGTTACCGGACACCCCCAACAGTATGGTCCCCAGCCCGGTGGAGACGTGAAACAAGGACTTGTCTTTTTTCTGTGCATTTTTGTTTTTTGTACACCTGCAAAAAGACTGTTGCAGCATGATCCCAGTCCTCTCCTGCATGTGAGCAGCTCATCACTTCATTCAAAACCTACAGCAAGAAAGCAAGAGTCCTTTCTGATTTCCCAAACCGGTGTGCACTCATTTTTTGGTATTTTGTTGGAAAATTCATTGACAGAACTGATGCATGAAGATCTGGATTTACATTGCTTACAACGCTTTTGGAACCATTTCCACTTAAAGGACACTCAGCAAACCCACCGTTTCCCCATATTGTGTCTTCTTTAAAAAGACTTCTTTCTTTTTTTGATACATTTTGTGGAGTCCAGTTCATGACTCACATGTCTTTGTCTTAAAAAGGTCTGCATGATAATCTGCAAAAAGATTCGTGTTGTAAAAATACTTTATCTTAAATATTAATAATAAGAAGGCGCAGGTTGTTAAGCTTCTCGAACAAAAAGTAAGTTATTGTTATATTATTTATTGTTAGAAAATTGGTAAAACAATTATCAACTGGTACAAAAAATAAAAAGCTGAGTATGCAACACTTGACATCACTTGACATCTTTGTATATGTATGATTGAATTATGGCTAAGGGGACTGTTTATTAACCAATACCATCGACTTTTAATATTGGTAAAGATATGTCAATTCTCATAAGCAGCTTGATAAAGTGTTATAGATTGCTGTTTATGGCAAAACATTTGTTCTTATCTGCAATATTCCAATGCGTAATTACATGAAATTTGATGACGGATTTAACATAAGTTAAAGAAGTAACACTGCTGGTTTAGTAGGCTATGTAGTCTGTCCTGTTTGGCCAACACGAGGATTTACTCATGTCTATCAGTGGAGAAGCCTGCAGGCTGAGTGTGTTATCACACACCTCATCATGTGTGTATTTCCCTGCATTGGTCCGTGCGCGCGTATAGCAAGACGCAGCCAGTGGTCATATCTCCGGGGCAGAAATGCGCTGCAAACCGTGCTCCGTCCAGTTGCTCTGGTTGAGTCACACACAAACTACTGCCTGGTCTAGACAGTGGTGCAGGAATGGGCGACCCCTTATCTGCTGCTGGCATCACCTGCGAGCAGTACACGCAGAAAAGCCACAACAAACTAACCAAACACACACGCGCACACACATAAGATGGAATACACACCAGAGCCCCTTCTTTGTGAGGGGCGGCTCGTAAAGGGTCACTTCTTCTCCTCGGTTTATTTTCCTTCGCTGAATTGCGTTAGAGTGTGCGGGTGAGGCTCAATGATCTGACCTTCTCTAAGTGCGCCTTGCGACGAGATGACGCGAGTAAAAATGAAAAACACAGCACCACGGTGGTTATTTTTCTTTGTGCGCTTTTACTAATGTTTTACGTTATTTCGTGGAGGCCTGTTTCATCAGTCAATCAAAAAGTGAAAACCTGACATTCACGTGGTTCTTTTAGGCTACTTGTCAGAACGAGTTTGTCAAATTTGTTTTGACGGGATTTGAGACATGAAAGCAGACATGTGTTTGTTGGTTTGTGAAAATAGTTGTAATCCTTTAAAAATAATTGTAATTATTATTTGTAACCAACGCCTCATCATAAAGTTTAAAGAAGGCAAAGTAAAGAAGATACACTGTCGGAAGTTTAAATAGCAAACGCTAGATAGCACATGTAATTGACCACTTCCAAATAAGATAACAGTAACACAATGCAGCAGATTCAGATAACGCAAATAAACACGGAAAACAATGGCGTTTACGCACAATGCAGGCCCATTAACCGCAAAGCTCCCCTGCGTAAAAGTAAATTGCGGATACATAATGTTTCCAAAACACCCAATTTTCATCGTGGGATGTAACATCTCAAAGGGCGTTTTATTAATAAGTACTAAACGATAAGCCCAAAATATGCCTCATTAGATTTAATAAAACAACCCAGATAGCCCACTTTATTAGATTAATCCCTAAAGCGCCGCATAAGGCCCAAAAGTCAGTGTGTTCATTTCCACCCGTGAGAGGATTGTTTGATAATTTTAGCAATAAAAAGCAGAGAAACGAAAGAAGAAAAGGTCATTGTAATAAAAACATGCATCTCAAAAATAAACCTATCGAGGGTTTTAAGGCATTTACAGACTATGTTTCTTTTTTACTCTCGTCCTTTGGTTTAATTTTAACATGCCTTTGCACGGCTCAACTTGGATATCCAGGTTTCTAACCAATCTATTAGTGTGGGCTAATTGATATTTCAAATTACTTCCCTTGTTTTCGTCCTTTACGCACATGCACGGCTCTAGTCCTATAACTAGAAATGACCTTATATGCCTCTAACGGTCTAAGGCCTAAAGTAAAGCGCGGAAGAATACACCGCACTAGTCCCAAATCTAAACATAAAATAGTCCCAAATTTATTTCTCCCGCTCTGACCCGACACGCAGTTGCACTCCCCTCACATTATTCATGATTAACCTCGAGCTTCGAGTCCCACCGCAGTGTCCGTGCGCGTGTCAGGTTGCCATAACGCACAACGAGAAGCTGTCAGCGCGAATGACACCGAATCATTAATGATTGAGAGCGAGTCCATTTAAAGGTGTGATGTAATTCTCTAATTGGCAGAGGGCCGTGCGTAATTAGATCAGCGGGCGCGCGCCTGACGAGCTACGACGCCCACCGGAGCCCACCGGAGCCAATGGGCAGCACGCACTCAGTAAATGGGCACTGGCACGGGTGACACACGAGACTGATAAAGTGTCAAATTCATACGTTTCACTTAGATTGCAAATTAACCAAAAAATAAGGCTAAACGTTTATGCTGTCCCGGCAAATCGCTTTTTTTGAATCCATTATTTTGCTAAAAATGTAGCCTATTTATTTCACCCAAAGCTTGTTTTTGGCTTAATTTTGGCTTAAAGTTAATTTTAAACATGAACCTTTTTAGGTGAGAAATAAATTAGCCTGTAGGTTATCTCATACAACACACACAGAACTGTATTGAATAACGAAATTAAATTGTAAAGGCAATAAAAAAAATAAAATAAAAAAAAAGCTTAAAAATTTTAACAAACATTGTTCTATAACTATTTTGACTATTTCTAAATTAAATTTTATTTTTATTTCTTATCTTTTTTTGGATTTCGTTTTTGAAACTAAAAGTCATACTCTGCCTATAATAATCATTTAAATATGTATGTATGTATGTATGTATGTATGTATGTATTATTATTATTATTATTATTATTATTATATTATTATTATTATTATTATTATTATTTTATTGATGCAATGTGGTTGCAATGCCATGGTTGCTGCTTTGGAGATGTCTAACAGTGGCTTTTAACCTCTTGAAAAGCCCCTTCTTGCTGACCATTTAACCCACATCCAGTCCATCATCACGTGACTGCTGTGGAGCTCTGTGAACAGTCCCACCCAGGCCCATGCTGTGACCTTGATCCTGCAGCGGGGGCCACCAGCAAAGCCACTATAGGAGCCAGTGGGACCAACCTCAAGTCCAGGCCCTCCAGGGACACCCTCTGACAGGCTGACTTAACACAGAAACTCCACTGCAGCTTTTAAAGAGGAGGAGGAAGGAGTGGGGTGGAACTGTGCCGTTTGAACCCACAAACAAAGGACCGGGCAAAAATGGCATGCACGGAAAATAACAACGAACAAATATCTAAAGTGAAATTTCAAGACGCCTTTATTATGTGAGCCTTTCCACAATGTCCGCCGGGAAATATTGCCTGTGTTTTTCTCACTTCTTGTCAGGTGTCTTAACAGGAAATTTAAGGCACCAATTTATCTGTGATGGGCTAATGGCCAATTTACCATCTCTTGACAAGAAATTTAATCTTGTGTACACTTAGGTTAGACTGATAATGAAAGGGCAGCGTCAACATCTAGCTGTGTGTAGTCACTCTGGGGATAATATCGATTCCTGGGCGCAATAGATGCAGCTTTTATGGAAAACTGACACAATGAGTAAATACCCCAATGTACTCCTTTAAACTTCTAAAAGCACAAGGGCAACAAAGGGGGAAGGAGATATTGATTTTAGATGGCACACGTGTTTTGAAATAAATCCTATGTTGTATACATGTAAATACTAAAAGGGTATTCAATCGTTATGGGCGACAGTGAGATTATGTTGTATAGTGTACTTTAGGTGAACCTTAGAAGCGGAAATTGAAACAAGCTTTTTTTTTTTTTTTTTTTTTTACAGGAGCAGAAGGCACTTACCTGGAACACACACAGACTGGTTGCGAGACAGTGTCAGAGCTCTGTAAATCACCATCACCCCACCCAGCGTATAAATCTACAACAAGAACAACACCAACCAACCACTATTAAGGACCAGAGAAGAAAAGCCTGGATCCTCCCCATTCGAGACAATATGACCTGTAGTAAAACACAATGATGCTTCACCTGTGCTTCAAACTGTCATTACCACAGACAGACACGTGTCGTACAATGGAGACTGAACAATGGGATGTCCCAGGACTTAAGAAGAGCGCCGCAAAGGTCCCGGCAGCTACACAGAGAGAGGGAGAGTCAGGGTCATATCAGTGTCAGTTCAGAAGTTCAAGAATGTTTGCAAGGAAGTCTTTGTGTCGGAGATTTAAGGCTCAATTAACCTAGTGACTCAGAAGTTGGGATGAAGCAGAGAGACGCGCTTTAATTATAGCACCAGGCCGAAACTGAAAACCTAAATGGCATTGATTTACCGGTACTGTCAAGATAGGAACAGTCGATTCAACTTTTCGCACGCCCGCTTATCCATGCAGCGTCAATAAGGTTTTTGTATGAATCAAGAGAGAGGTTTTGCAATAGACAGTGAAGTGCATTTCATAACATTTTGAATATGGATTTTTAAGATGTACAAAATTGGAGTTATACAAAGAAGCAATGTTGAACATAGTCCAAGATTAATACTTGTATATATCATTCCTGCCTATTTCAGTTCAAGCAAGAAAGTCAAAAAGGTGAAACTTTAATCA